TATTTATAGTAGGGTTATAATTGTTCATCTCTTTTTTTTTTTTTGGGTCCGGTCATGGGGCCTGAACTCTGGGTCTGAGCGCTGTCCCTCAGCTCTTCAGCTCAAGGCTAGCGCTCTACCACTTGAGCCACAGCGCCACTTCTGGCTTTTTTCTTTTTGCATATGTGGTGCTGAGGAATGGAACCCAGGCCCTCATGCATACAAGGCAAGCACTCTACCACTGAGCCACCTTCCCAGCCCTTCTGATACTTTTTAAATTTTATTTTAGTTTAAATAAAGAGCTGGGCACCATTGGCTCTGTAATTCCAGCTAATTGGGAGGTTGAGCGCTGAGGATTGCTGTTCAAAGCCATACTGATCAGGGAAAAGTCTGTGAGACTCTTATCTCCAAATAACTACAAAAAAAAAAAAAGAAAGAAACAACAAAAAACCCTAGAAATGGCACTGTGGCTAGAGCAAGAAATAGCCTTGAGCACAGAAGCTCAGGGTCAGTGCCCAGACCTTGAGTTCAAGCCCCAGGACTGGCACCAAAAACAAACTACACAGCTCAGTATGGGTGGTTCATGCCTAGCTACTCTAGAGGCTGAGTTCTGCAAACTGCAGTTTAAAGCCAGCCTAGGAGAGCATGTTGTTTCTGCTAGACTACACTCAAAATAACTAGTGAAAAATATTACTTGAAGAGTGACTCAAGTACCACCAAAAAAACCCTAAGAAACATATAAAAATAAAATACTTTATATTTCAAAGAGTACTTTTAAAAATAGGAAAGGCCATCTAATAACTTGAAGTAGACAACAGCTTTTAAATACAATATACATACCAAAGTAATGCTTCAACTAGTTTGAAGACAGGTAGTTTAAACACTTATGAAAAAGAAATTCTGTTTATACATAGACAAGAACTATTAATGCTTTTTGATATCCTAACTAGTATGATTATTGTCTTGCAATGGGCCAGTCACTTAAGTTCAATTCCAGTTATTTCCTGTCTCTGAAGGGCTAGTTACTTATTTAACAGCAGAGTCAGGTACTAAGTCATTTTTTGCTTTCAAGGAAGAAAAAAACAGCTACAAATTTGGTGAGATTATTAACTTCATTTAGCTCATTTATTTTAAAAATTCTCCTAAGAGAAAATGCCTCTTCTCTTATCCTACACTTTAGACTACTTGTGTGTTTAAAAGTTTATTAGCTTTGTTTCTTAGATTCTTTTATCAATTTATAGTCATGATTATAGATTATCCTAATACCTGTTAATAGATTCCTTATCATGTAGTCAGTTTATGTAATTTAAGAGATAGCATGTCATAAATGCTTTATCTCTACGTCTACCTGGATATTGAATATTACCAACACAAGGATTAAACCATTGTATAAACCAAGCCAAGAAACAGAAGAATAAAATATGTGTATAACTGTAGAAAGTCTCTTAAACAATCCTGTGTTACAAGTTGTAAGTAATTAGAAACAAAGATGCGTTGGATAAAATCTGCCTCAAATCATGTGATTTAAATACTATGGCTCAGTTAAGCAAGCCCAAAATAAATCAAAACACTTCTTGTTTTTGTATTCAGAATAAACTTACTTCAAATTTGTTTGCCTCTATTCATTTATCCAAACCAGAACTATTTTGTTATACATTTTTTGTTCAGAGCCTTTAATACATATTTAACATGCTTTTAGAATGATTAAACAGACTAACTTACCCTTTGTCTAAAGTTTGAATCAGCATTTGGATTTAGCCCTAAAAGAGCCTGTTCATCCATCCCTGCTGTTATTCTTGAAGTTTTCTGATTATAGCAGACTTGCCCTCTGATCCCACAGAAGAATCCATAAACATCTGCACATAAAAAGGAGGAAAATACAAGAAACAAAATAAATGCTTATCCAAAATGTAAGGGAATGAAAATATACATATGCTTAAGTGTATAAAAGAAAAACCTCTTGATATTCACTCAAACTACAAATAATGGAGTCTAAGTTTCACAATAAGACTCTCTGAAGGTGTGGCTCAAGTGGCAGAACCCCAGCTGTTAACAACAAAACCAGGCTCCAAGTTCAATCCCCAGTATCAGGTGTGTGTTCATGTGCACATGGCGCATACACATATACGCATACATGCATACATACACACATACATACACACAGGTGTGAGGCTTGAATGCAAGGCCTGGCATGCTTCACTTCGTTTTTCTGTAAAAGGCACTGTACCACGTAAGCCACAGCTCCATTTCCAGTCTTTTGCTGGTCAGTTGAAGACAAGAGCCTTCCTTCCTAGGCTGGCTTCAAACAGAGATCCTCACATCTCAGACTCCTGAATAGCTATGATTATAGGTGTGAGCCATCAGTGTCTGGCTTCTAATGTATAATCTTAAAAAACATTATCAGCCCTGAAAGGCACCTTAGTTGTTGACAGAATGTATGTTTATATTTCAGTTAACATGGAACTACAAAATGATGTGAAAACTGCATTAAGGTAGGGATTCTAGGCCTGTTTCCATTATTTTGCTTTTTGAGTTATGCTAACTAAAAAGAACCAAAGAGGCCAAGAAACTCATGGGGGAACATGAGAGGGGGTTGTACAGTTTTAGGAAAGGCCACGCCACAATCAGATCAGACCCAGGTTACAGGACCTGGACATTCTTCCTTCCTTCTTGGGCCTGTTGAAAACAAATGGTAAACCAGGATAAGGGCCGAGGGCCTTGAAAGCTCAGCCCCTTCTCTTACCAGTCATTGCATACCTGCACACTACAGCAAAGGAAACAGACATACATACCCTCACTGTCCTGGTGCCCATACTGCTTTTGAGTAACTGCTGACCAATCTGACCCACACACACCCCGACGCAGCACGGCTGGCAATACTGCATCACGGGCAGTTCTCCAGAGGCATTCTGCCTTGCATCTTTGCACACACTGGCTCTTTTTAGTCCCTGGGTTAACCCTTGCTTGTCTTTCCACATTCAACTTAGAGGTTATCTTTTTAAAGAATATTTCTTCCTTTATTATCCAGTCCTCCCAAAACTGGATTAGATACCTCTCTAAGTCACTGCAAGCTAATTTTTTCTTAACTTTAAAGAGCAAAGATTGTCCTCATTATGTTCCTAAGAGATAGAACACAAGTTTCAGATTTTTAAAGAGCCGGGTTTATATTCACATCTTGCCATTTAAGAAAAAAAACTGAGGCCCTATGAATTTAACAAACCCTTAGAGCACTCCATGATACAAAGTGTGCAGGGCAAGTCTGGCACATAGTAGGCCCTCAGTTGATTACTTAGAGGTAAGCACAAAGGAAATGGAAACTTAGATGGTCCTTAAACTAGAAAATTAATATTTGGAACAGATGATAAAATGTGTTCTCTCCCTTGGCCATGAGTGGCAAGAAAATCTGGTTACAACCCATGGAAAAATGGAAGAAAAAACAATTCCAGAATTTCTGTGAATTCAAAGTAAAAAGTCTTTTCTTTTTTTTGGGGGGGGGTGTCCGGTTGTGGGCCTGAACTCTGGGCCTGGGCGCTGTAGCCCCTCAGCTCTTCGCTCAAGGCTAGCATGCTACCACTTGAGTCACAGCACCACTTCCAGCTTTTTTTTTTTCTGCTTATGTGGTGCTGAGGAATCAAACCCAGGGCCTCAGGCATGCAAGGCAAGAGCTCTACCACTGAGCCACCTTCCCAGCCCTCAAAGTAAGGAGTCATAAATACAGTCTGCCTTAAGTTTTTATTCCTTAAGATTTAGATTGGGTCACTTTGCTCTGATCCTATCAAGAGAAAAAGGGGTCCTATGGAAAAACAGGGCTAATCATCATCTTAAGGAAACAAACTTGTTACAGTTCTCATTAGAGAAGGAATCCTCCAGAAAAGGCATCAGGTAACCAATATAGTAGGGGAAAAGTACCCAAGTGTGAGCAAAAAGCGAAGTTACAACAGCAGTAAAAGAAAAAAAAAAAAAGTAACAACATTGCCAGTAAAAGATTGGGCATGAACACATAGTATTCTAACAGGATATTTGATATTTCCGTGCGGGATTAAACACTTGTTACAATATGGTACACGATTACGCGTCTTGCCAAAGTGGAAAGGTGAGGGCAACAACGTACTTAAATATTAAGCCCTGACTTTTCCCAGGATAGCCATTAAGTCAACAATCAAATGATTTGGAAAATTCCTCCACCCCCACGAAGGGCTTCCCTCCCCAGGCTTTGAACATCACGCTGACAAGTCGCTGTAATAAAACGTAACTTCCCCAGTAACAACTAATTAACGCTTTGCAAAAGTACTCGTTTTTCTGGTTACAGGGGAAGCATGGGGCTTCTCTGTGCTCGTGAAGGATGATGATGGAGGGGGAAAAGAAGAAATGGAGGTACTTACTGCAATTTACAACAACACTTTCCCTTCTTTTTGTCCCAGGGTGGGAAGTGAATCAAGTTTGAGGTCTCCCCAGTTGAAACCAGTGTTACGCACTACAACGATCATAACAAGGGCTGGGGGTCGGGGAGTGGGGGGGGCGGGCAAAAGTGCTGCAGACTCTCCAGGGTTGGCCTCCCCGCAACCACAAACTTAGTCCCGATCCGTGCCGAAAACCGAGCCTCGTGGCAACCGAGTGATGAAACACCAGGCAACTGGCGGCCACGCACTCGGGACGCGCTCCGCGACGGCGGCCGCAACCCGCAACCCGCCCCCCCCTCGCCCCTAACCCCCGGCTGCCCGGCCCGGGGGCGCCCCGCCACGGAGAGACCCCCGTTGCCTTCCCCGGAGTCGGGACTCCCTCCGGCTGGTCCGGTCCGACCAACTTCCTTGCAGCCCCCCGCGTGAACGGACCCAACCCGCTCCGGGTCCCCGATGCCGCCACCCCCACCCCAGCCCAGCTCCAGTCACCTTCCCTATCACTCCATCGCCGCTCCCCGCCTGCGCTCCCCAGGGCCCGTCAGCAGAGCGGAGCGGGGAGCGCGGCCGTCGTCCCCGTCGCCGTAGTCCTCCGCCACGGCCGGCAACGCTCACGCCGGAGACCGAGCGGGCCAGGGCCGCGCGCCGCTCCGCGTCCCCTGGTGCCTCCTCCTGCGTGGCGCGGCGGAGCGGGCAGGCTCACCCAGCAGGCGGGCGGGGTCGGGGCCCCCAGGAAGGGAGAGAGGCGCGAGCGAGAGCCGCCTAATGCCGCCGCCGCCGTCGTCGTCGCCGCTGAGTCAGCGCGAAGCGCGCTCCCCGCGTCGGTGCCGCGCGGGCCAGCTCTGGCAGCCTCATGGAGAGTGCGGACGGCCGCCCCGCGGGCTGGGGGAGGGGGGGGGAAGAACCGGCGCCTACAACTCCCAGAATGCCACCGGCAGGCGGCGCTTCCGGGGGCGGGGCTCACACGCGTTCCCGGGGCCTCGCGGAGGGGGGCGCGGTCTCCGGATCTGTGGCAGTGCATGCCGGGATGGGGTATCCACCCGCCAATCACTCCCGGGACCCTCCGGGCTGGCTTCCAGTTCCCTCCCTGCGTCTCCACCCTGCTCTTGTCTGTGGGATCGGGTTCGCTCCCGCATTCCAGAAAGATCTTCAGATGGTGTGTGAGGTGGAGTGCTGAGTGCCCGAGCTGGAGATGACGTCGTTCACACCACGTGGGAGTCACCGCATTCCTTTTCTGTGCTTCCACGTGTTCAGTCCGAGCGCGCGGAGGTCCTGAGTGCTGACGGTTTTAAACATTCACGTTCAACATCCTAATATTTTGTTCATGAAGAAGAGGACCCGCTCCTACGTTTCATTGGTCCCATTTATTCAGTCTCTGTTTAAAAATGTTTATGTTGCATTTGAGGCAGGGGAGGCTTCAGCTGCCAAGATATGAATCTCATGATCAGTTGCTCCTTATTGTCGCTGACCTGGCAGGCCACAAAGTCTATTTCAGTGTAGTCATGTGTAAAGGGAATAGTATCAACCTCAGGGTCGATGCATTATTAACATATGTGATTGGCATACAACAGGTGCTCAACATTTAGGATTCTTTGTTGATTATTTAGTATTTACTGAACAAATGGTAGAGCACTTGCCTTAAGCTGAAGAGCTCAGAATAGCTCCCAGGCCCAGAGTTCAAGCCCCACGACAGAAAAAAAAAAAAAAAAAAATGTGTATGGTTGTTTTTATGTTTTTGTTTTGTTTTGTTTTGGTGTGAGTCCTAGGGCCTAACCTTTGAGCCAGGGCAATGTCCCTGAGGGCATCTTTTGCTCAAGGCAAGGCTAGCACTCTTATGATTTGAGCCACAGCACAACTTCTAGCTTTTTCTGAGTCATTAGTTGGAGATAAGAGTCTCAAGGACTTTTCTGCCCTAGCTTGGAACACTTTCATTAGATCTCAGCCTCCTGAGTAGCTAGCATTAGAGGCCTGAGCCACCGGTGCCCTGCTTTCCTGTAACAATATTACAGCTACATTTATTTGGTGATTGCCATGGTCAAGACACATACCCTTGGGCTGGGAAAGTGGCTCAGAGGTAGAGCGCTTGCCTTGCATGCATGAGGCTCTGGGTTCGACTCCTCAGCCCCACATAAGCAAAAAGAAAAAAACCGGAAGTGGTGCTGTGGCTCAAGTGGTAGAGCGCTAGCCTTGAGCTGAAGAGCTGAGGGACAGCGCCCAGGCCCAGAGTTCAGGCCCCAC